TAAAGTCCCTAGAATGGTTTATTTGTTTAATGAAATGTTAAGTGTGACTTAATCATGAGATCCCATTAAACATAAGACATTATTCTTAAAGTATCCGTAGTCAAGCTTTAATGTGAAGTGGGATAGCATTAAAGCATTAAGATTATTATGAAGATAGATTGATGATCACATCTCATGGATCATAGATAAGGAGTTATCAAGTCTTGACATAGGTATGAATGTTAGGAGTAATATTTATACTGGATTGACCCGCTATGAGAATACTACATAGAATGTTATGAAAAGTGTCATAAGTTATTCTCATGATGATAATGGTGTATACCACCCTTCGACCTGAAACCACTATGGACCCTAGATGTAGAGTCAAGTACTTTATTGCTGATCAAACGTCATCCGTAACTGGATGACTGTAAAGACGGTTGATGGGTACTTTACAAAGCATGCTAAGGGACATGAGTGACCTAGATGGAATTTGCTCATCCTGCATAGCAGGATAAATGTCTAAGGGCCCAATATTGAACTGGACAAGGGTGACACAGTGTATGCCTTGTGTTTAATATAGACATGAGGGCAAAAGGGTAATTGTACAACATAAATATTATCACGTAAAAGGTTTGGTCAGATCACATGACATTTTCGTGACTTGGGTAACAGTGATGTGTTGCTAGATACCGCTCACTGTTTATTATATTAAATGTGTGATTTAATATAATTGCCAACGTCGCGAAAACCTACAGGGTCACACACATAAGAACAGGTTGATGAGAGATAGAATAAATAAGGAACACCGTAAGGTACGGTGCACTTAAGTGTAATACGGAAAATGGCAAGGTACCACGTGGATAAGTGATATATGGTACATCATAAGGTATGATGTCCATAAGCTTAATTGGCCTTTTAGCTTATAGCCTTAATTGGGCTTTTAGCTTGTAGCCCACACGAGTGATTCTATAAATAGATCCCTTGTGATGAAGCAATTTCACTTGATGCATTTTCGTTTTTGACTCTCTCTCTCACTCAAGGTTTCCGTTCGTGATCAGCTAGCACTGTGACCGGAAGCGATCTGTTCGTGTGGACTGAGTAGAGGCGTTGTTCTTCATCAATGCTCGTGATCACAACATCAAAGTTCTGAATCGCCACAGGAGGTAAATATTTCTATCACTAACCATGCTCATTCGTAAGGATCGCTAAAGGAAAATTTTAAATTTCGCTGCGCTTTTGGTCGCAATTTTCCTTCACTCCTATTCCCTTCTTTTGCTTCATTCTTTTCTCTCCTTTTCACGTTCATTCTCTATGTTCTTGTGAGAGTTTTACTATGTGCCATTAGTATTTCCAGATATGGCTCCAACAAGAAGCCTTCCACTGGAATATTTTCTTCGAAAAGATTATTTTTGGAATGACCATCCTGAGAATTCAAGAAAGGAGGGGAATGGCCAACCATAAATTTTTACGACCTATTGTTATGGAAGAAAATTTTCTCAATAATTTCTAGCTATATGTGAACATCAGCCAAGGTTTTCAAAGGGTATTATTAACAAAAATACCAAATCGAGTGTTTCTGGATCTTGTAAGAGAATTCTACTCAACCTGAAGTTTTGAATATCTATTCCTGAAGACATCTATAAAAGGAATTAAATATTGACATTCATAGTGATCAGCTCAGAAAAATGTTTAAAATACCCTTCTATAGAGTATCCTACGCCTATGATGGGCCAATAAAGTTCAAGAAATTCACACATATCCTCTCATATGTCATGAATCTCATGATATATAGGAAGCTTTCTATCAAAGCAATCTACTTAATGGAAAAGATTCATGTGGCACAATACTTGATCACAATGATACTCCTACCGAGGTAAGATGATATTGAGGTGATCATTATAGAGGATGTGGCTCCCTTATTGCTACTAACTCAACAATTTCAAATAAATTGGGTTGACAAAATTCTTTTCCATATGATCTACTACAAGCAAAATTGATCAACGGGATTACCATATGGAGCTTTGATCACCATGAAATTAGTTGTTGTTGGAGTCGACACTATAGGGGAGTCAGTGGATCCAATCCACTCCAAGATCAACTAATCCTCTTTTAGTAGCATGCAGGTTCATATCTTTCGAGGATAAATAAATAATGAATCAATGGATAAAGTCCAAGAAAGAGTCCAACCAACCGCAAAATATGATACAATAAAAATAACCTTATAGAAATATCTTAACAAAACGCTTTGACCATTCAAAAAATTGGAAAAAGACACGGCTATCATAAAAATAAACACTTCAAAAATATGATATTAATGGCAAAAAGTAGTCTCACTTATGTATTTTAATCTTAGCAATTAAGTGTGTTTACATTTCTACATTTTCATGCTTTCTAGAGTCTTCAAAATTCCTAGTTTTTTCCATTGCCAGTATTTAAATGCTAATATTTGAATTAATTAAGAAATGTTTTCCCTTATTTAGTAAATTATGTTTAGACTATATGAATTATGTTCTTACATATTTACAAATACTTTCTAGCATATTTTCCCACCTATTTTATTATGTCAATAAGGGAAAAATATACTCTTAGGGGATAAAATATACTCTATACTCATAAGGGGAGTCTAACCACTCCAAAGTTTATCAATATATTTTATATTTACTACCTCTTTAGGAGATGCATTTTCCCTATAAAAAATGGGATAATTTAAATCTATGTGCTTGCAAGTATAGTCAAGAAGTGATCCAGGATGGTGAAGCTTATGGATAACAAAATTGAAACTCAAATAGTAGTTGCATAGTTTTTATGATGATAACACTTAAATTTAAACAACTACTTAAGATATATTAAGAGGTCAAAGATGTAGAATATGATTTATCAAGCTATCCTCCTAAATCAAGCTATACTTTTGAAGATCAAGACATTTACTTAAATTCAACGGTGTATTTCAACAACTTTCAAGTGAATACTTCTATTTCAAGAATCACTGGTGGCTTCACCTCTCAATATTTTGGGTGATGGTAATCAAAATGAAGATATCTCAAGCCTCGTTAATTAGACTCAAGATTATTGTGTGATGAAAACTCAAAGATAATGATACCAAGACTTTGCTTCAAAGTTGTGAAAGCTTATCGGGTCATGTTCTTCTAAGTGACCAGTGCCTTACAAAGGCACAAGGATATTTTCGAAAATACTATGGCTAAATCACACGCATACTAATTTTTTTTTAAGAATCCTCTCATATATTTAATTAAATCACCAAAATTTTTTTTGAGGCCTAGCTAGTTGATTAGGAGAGTGTCTGGTTGATTGAAAGACATTTTCTAACTGAATAATCAATTAGATATTTTATTAATCAATTAAATCATGCTTGGCTGAGTCTAAAAATTATATGGATAATCTCTTAATTACTTATACTAGTTAAATATCAAAGTCTTATATTTGTGACCTTAACAATCGATTATTTAGGGTGTCTAATAAGTATGCCTAATTGTTTAGAGCATTAATTTGACCCATATATTGTCTCAAATTTTGTACAAAGGCTTGAACTAAAAATAAAGAGCCTCTCTATCAATTTTCACATACAGAAAATGAGAATAAGTGTCACTTTTTTCACATATTTTAGCTATAGTGCTTCGAGAGTGTTCTTAAATCTAAGTGAAGATAATTGTACAGGGCGAGGAAAAAATTGTAAATTTACCAAGAGTATATTTTCTCTTGTGTAAATAATTATTCCGTAGGAAGTTTTTATTTTGGTTATGAGCTAAACTAGTTCAAAGCTCTTATAGTGTTAGGGGATTGTCTGAGAAAGTCTCAGTTTAGTTGTGAGCTTTGACTTGAAGAAAAAACCCTCTTTTAGTTAGTAAAGATAATCCAGTGAAAATCTCCACAATAATTCTTGAGCTCAGAGCGTTTTAAAGCTCTATCGATTCGAGATGAGCATAATTAAAATTTATCTTTATTCTTGAGTTCAGTCTGGTGTAAAAGCTTTGTGGATTTGAGATCAGCACGGTAAAAATCCTTGTTTGGTTTGTGGTCAACTTGTGTAAAACCCTAGTTTAGTTCGATGGATATCCAACTAAAATTCGAGCCTTCACCGATTCGTCCAATGGAAAGGCGAGCGGACAAAGCAAAAAGAATCCCTTCAAGGGGTCGTCCAACGGTTGGACGAACAGAAGTAAAAAGTGTGGCATCTTGAAATTTTTTTTCAAATAGTAGCATTTTGAAACTTAATTTTTGAAACATTGGTAGGAGGGTATAAAAATCCTCCAACGTCTAAATCAGTGAATGAGTGAAAAGTAGTTAGAGAATAAGAATGAATTGAATTCCTAAAGTAGAGTGTTTGGTCTTTATATAGTATGTGCAATTAAAACCATCCGCGTGTGATTTGGTACTTTGTGTGAGTTATGGTTCAATTGAATCTAACAGTGAGAGGTATTGATAGAGGATGTGATCGTGTGTACTTAGCAGGGATGAGAGAGGGTCCATCAATTATGTGTATCTTTTTCTTCAACACTTATTATTGGTCCTTCTTCATAGGTTTTGCAGGAGGTCTAGAACAGATATCAACCAAGTTATAATTGGATGAACACCCTTAATACAAAAGATATCTTGAAGTTGGAGCTAAATGGAGTGTATGCAGTGGCGCAAATTTCAAAATTTGGCAAGACAAATGGATCCTAAACCAGGAAGAAATATACATGGTTCATCATACTCACATAACTCATCTCTCTAGAAAGAAATTTGGAGAGCTCCAATCCGAAAGAGTTAAAAGTGTCATGTGGAGATTAGCAAACCGCATTGCATTATGGATCAAATAATCCATTGAGTGTACACTTTGAGAGCAAAACGATGAAGGAGATGTATGAGGGTGCTGATATTCCTCAACTTATAATTCAATTGGACAACTTAAGAATCCAAAACTAGAGGAATTAACTGATGTAACTTATAATACTACATTATATTCCTCAACTACAACCTTGACCAAATCAAACTTGAAATGAAACATAGTATCAAATTTACATATCTTGAATGTTTTCACCAAGACATGAATCAACCACATTAAAATCAGCTACTTTAGAACCACTAATCTTAAAAGAACCAGATTGAATCCTATATGGAAATTTACCATTACTAACAGAAACAACCTCTTTTTCTTCATCTCTTTTCAAATCACTTGGAGCTAGAAAACAATCCATACACAACCCTTTAACATTAAAATCCACTTCTTCAATTTTCCAAACCTCTTTTATTCTTGTCCTTGAATGACTCTCAGGTCCTTCACCAAATCTCGACAAAGTAACCCAAGTTTTCCCACCATGTGCTATTTGAATACCATCCACTATTCTATACTCTTGTATGCTTGACTCTGTGTTTGTTTCCCAAAATATGGATTCGGTTTCTGAGGATTTAAGTTTGATCAAATGAGTGTCTTCTAATTGAACTAAAAGTCCTGTTCTTTGGCTGAAATAGCCCAAGACTGTGTGGCCAATTATCTCTATGTTGTTAGAGCTTCTTGTTTGTAATGAAGATGAGTCTGTTTCGAGTTTTAGAATGAAGCATTCTTCTTTGTTTGCTGTTTTTTCTCCTATGCATGTTGAGTTGTTGAATAAATTGGCTATAGACTTTGGATCAAGACCCTGTTAAATTACATAAACAAATTATTAAGGAATATGCACAATGAATTAGATAATAATTATTTGCAAAGTTTTAAAAATATTATGGCAAAAACAACCGCGATAAACAGTAAACAAAATTTCCAATATCATTTTAATGTTGAGAAAAAAATCACAGATGAAAAGCTATTATGACACCGTTTAAGATTCAAATTTCTCAAAATCACTTGAAAATACTAATGTTTCTTTTTCATCAATGGTGTAGTTTAGGAACTGGTTCAAGATGGATCCTACTGTCTCTAATACACGTCTCATATCCATATTTTAAAATTGGGGAAACACAAACTCAAACTCAATTAACACTAATTTTTCATGTCAAACTTGGGGTGAGTTTGGACACATATCCACATGTACAAGTATTGATGTCATGTTTAAGCACAATCTATAACGTAACACTTGTACTAGTCAAAATCGCAAAATCATACGCGCGATCTCAAACTTTATTTAAAATCTTGATAATTTATATAAACTTAGTTATCAATTACTTCCTCTATCTCAAATTAATTGTCATACTTGACACATTTACACATATTAAGAATATGAGGTTTCTCGTGGCCCATATACAGCAATCAAAGCAATCCAAGGCCTAAATTCAATCAACTCAAAGTGACCCGTCAAAAGGATTGGAAGGGCAGGAATAAAAGTAAAACAAAGCTTTTTGAAAAAAATGGATACAAGTTGTCATGCACTAAGGAATGAGAATGACAAGTATTGTTGACATATGGGGATATCACAACTAACTAATTGGATAAATTCAAATTTCAAACTTAGTATTTTCTTACATTACCTATTAAATTGTTGACTATATAGTTATTAAATGTAGAGCTTAACAATTTGGAATATAAAGTGACCGTTTTCAGATGGGATGGGAGGAAGTATCCGGTTTTAGGTGGGATGGATCGAGTTAGGCACTGTTTGGTTAGGTAAAATGGCAACATCCAAACTTAGATTTTTTTGTTATAGAAAGCTAGACTTTTATATGAAAAAGAGAAGATGAAAAAGTGAAATGAAAACACAACATAGACATTTGAATATATTCAAATCATATTCACACATGAAACTGTTAGATGAATTCAAATTTAAAAACCAAATTGGTTACCACTTAATTTAACAGAAACGAATCCCCGAGAAATGAATTTGAGACACAACATAAACACTAATTCATTGACATTGATAATAATTATAAAAAATATATATATAATATAATTACATGTTTCAGTATTATGTCAAATATTATTTATATATGTCGGACACTGAATACACGTGTGTCAGAGATATATGTTAGAGTCAAATACAACTACATATTATATGTGTGAGATATGTGTATTAGAGTAATAAATACACGTTTTTGTTCATTCGGTATTTGAGGAGTTTAATGCTATTGATTTCTAAGTAGTAAGTGTACATTGATTCAAATTGAATAGGTTTAATTGATGCAATCATGAAACAAACAAAGGAATATTAATGAACATTAAATGAAATTTACCTGAAGTAAACGTCTAAGGGGTCTAGGTGGGCCTCTAGAAGCATGAGAATGATGCCAAGGTGTTTGCCTCCAACCCACTTTTCCATCACTCCCTGCACTAATTTTGTACCCAGAAACTACCAACTCCAAACACCACAACTCTGGTCTTTTTTGCCACAAAACAAACCCTCCCATTTCTTCTTTCACCTCCACTTTCTTCAACTTCTTCACCATCTTCTTGCTATTCACACCCCCTTCCCCTCCCACAAACTCTGATGTCCCTATTCTCACCTCCCCCATTGCATACATACTCTCAACCTTATTCAAAACACTCTCCCCTCCCACCGCCGCCACGTATTGTTTCACTATATACTTCGCCATTGCGGCCTCCTTCACAAACACAAAAAATAATATAAGCTAACCAGTTGATTGTCTGTTTGTCTGTTTGTCTGCAATTTATGTATAATCTTTATAATATTTATTGAAAAGGTGTAAAGATGAATAAAAAATAAAGTTTCAAGTATACTTACAATGTTATGACTTTTAATGTTGTGAGTGATGATGGGTTTGTACTCATTGGTGATAGGGAAAGGAATCAATGGAGCTCCAACAACACCAAGCAATAGTTGAATACTTGTGTTTGGATCTTCAAAACGTGACGATCTTGATTCATTGTTTGGTTTTATCCATTGCTTCATGTTTTTCCATGTGTTTCCACTCTTGCTGATGAAAATCTCTTCTGGGATAGGAACTTCAAGCACGGTTTCAAGTCCATATTCATGATCAAGGTTGGGACAAAGCTTCTTCATAGTATAGATAAAATCAAATAAGATGAGTAAGAATTTAAGAAGGTAATAATAATGAGAATATGTACTTTTGAGTTGAATTCATACAAGACAATATGTATTATGTATGAATTACATGTATCGACATGATCAGCGTGATCAGTCGATATAGACTGTCTGATCTTGATTGAACGAGACGTGTGTAAGAAAAGGTTTATAAAATTTGTGAATGTGTGAATTGAAGTTTTGAATTGAAAGGGAGATAGTATGAGATATTTAATGAGAATGTAACTTTGGAAAAAGATGACAAACCAAACTATATGGGGACACTTTTTTTTTCTCTTTTTATTTCGTCGTGATTGCACGCATCTTACGTATTGGCAAATTAAATTACGGTTTTTATTAAAATTATATACTTGTTGTTCATGTCTGCATAAATTTAAGGACTATTATTAAATGTATTTTTATAAAGGGAAAATATTGATTAATGTAGATCATTGATATTAAATGCAAAATAAAGGTTGGTGTTAAAAGTCCCCATGTTCATATCTTGTTAAATTAAATGTCATTTATTTATGAAAATACTTTATTTATGTTTTTTTATTTATTTATATTTATATACTTTGTTTTTTATCACTCTTTTTTTATTAATTTATAAATATTAATAATTTTTTATATTAATATATAAATATAAATAAAATATTATTTTTAGTGGTTGAAGTCTAGATCAATAATTAATAATTTATACTTATTTGACTCAATTAACACATATTATACTAGTTGAGATAACTCAATTAACAAATTATTAGATTCACTTTCTTCTATAAAAATTGGATATTAAGGCGAAAATAAAAAGCGGATGAAATTGACAAGACTATATTAGACATGTTGGTTTTATCAATATTTTTTTATAGGATAGATTAAAAAGTTAGGTTTATATCTTCTAATGTATTTGTCTCATCCTGTTCAAATTTTTGCAAATGTAAATAATAATATAAATTTTTAAACTTACAAAATGCAATATCCACATGTCTGTCCCGCCTCGCCTGTATTTTCAACTATACATACAGGACCCACCCCCACTTTTTTCGACATATTGCAAGACGGACCTAAACAACGGCTTCTAATCAAAATAACACTCTAATAGTACACAAACTAACAAAAAAATGTTTCAAGTAAAATGCATCCCTTCAAAAAAGTTAGGTAAAATACATATTTACTTGGTGTATCCGCTAGTTTCACAATTAAGATACTTTAATTAGACGTATAAACATGTATACTCTAATAAGCAAACTTGATTAAGACACAAACAAGTCCAAATCAAAAGTGAAACCATCTAAAAGAAAAGAGAAATCCATTGCTTATGTTACAATTTACTTAAAAAGAGTGTTGATTACCCTACAACTAGAAACTTTGTTACCTTATATTATAACACACTTTCACTAACTTTATCTTTTACACAATAATCATTACCTAGTTAAGGAATCTAGTACAAAATCTTACTCTAATATAGTACCTTAAACAATGTCGGTAATATTACATAACATGATATGGATGCAAAGAACATAAAGATGAAGGGGTCCCAAGAACATAAGACATGCAAGAAAATGTACGACCAACATTCTAATTCAAATTGTAATTGAGAATGGTAACCCATGGCCCTGCCCATTGGTGGTTGTTGTTTTTTTATTAGCTAGGATGCCATGAATTTATTCTTGTCGCAAATAAGCAAAGCCATGTGAGGTGTTCTTTGATCTTGTTTTGATTTTTTGTTGTGTTAAGCTGACTAGGATGGTGTAAAGCGACAAGTTATTACGTTGTCTTTTGTGAATTTCGAATCATTTCATGCACGTTCTTGTTCTTGTGTAAAATGCTGGTGGTTTTGTTACAGCTGAAATTAATACGTTTTTTATTGCAAGGAAAATGTTTTGAAGAAAACAATTCTCAGGGGATTTTCTTTTACCTTGTAATTGTTGGGAGAAACATCATAGACAGCTTATTGAATTATTGAGTGAAAGAAAGTAATAAAGACAATTGAATGGATAATCTGTGTCACTTTTGAGCATCAAAGTTATTCATACACTTGCACAAGAGTCCAATAAACAAACATACACTAGCACTAGGTTATATTTGTTATAAGTAATTAGAAAATCATAAATTATTATTTTGAAATATTCATGTAAAATGTCAATTTAAAATAGTAATATAGTAATATGTGAAATATTTATATCTATAAAGACAATTATCTTTGTTATTATTTTATCTCTTGTTTTAAAAAAAATTATCTTTGTTATTATTTTATCTCTTGTTTTAAAAAAAATTGGTAACTCAGCCAAGTGATCATATGGGTGAGATTTGAAAAATGCTCTGTGTAAAAAAAAATAATTTTTATTAATATTTCAATATTTCTTTGTCTGATCCCTCATTTTGGTTCCAAAAGGGTTTAAACTTGGGACCTTTCATGAACAACCCCTATCTATTGAGCTAGTTCTTTCTGTTTGAATAATTATCGCTCAAAATATATTTATAACAGACTTTCATCATCTTCATCAAATCCAAAAACATATGAACTTCATCTTCATCTTTCATACAAGCACAAAATTTATATTTATGTTCTCTCCCTAACAAGTCTCTTTACCTAACATTTGAATGCTCTGCAATTCCACCAACATTTGAGTTAGCATGCTCTTACGCTTCCTTCCATTCAACTTAAAGCCACTACTTATCAATACACATCATTACCTATTAAATCATTCCACCATTACAACACCAACAATTTCAAAACAATAATGCAAAACCTTAACCTAATCAAAATCACTTCATCAACAATATATCATACTCAGTCATATCTTAAACTACTCAGAGGTTCGATTCAAGTATTTGTATTACGATTGAGTTTTGATTATAATGCATTTGTTTGTAATGCGATTGTTTCATTGTATGGTAAATGTAATGCAATTGTTCACACATAAGGTGTTTGATGAATATTATCGTAGAGGGGTTTGTGATTTGGGGTCGTGAAATTTGATTGTGTTGGCATATTCGGATTGTTTTGTTCCAAAAGTTACAGTTTTGCTTTTTCATGAAATGGCGGTGTGCTATAGGTTATTGTAAGAGAGAAAAAAACATATTTTGAGATTGTCAAAAATCAGAAAGCCGAAAAGTAATATGATCTGAGCAGTTCAGGGATATCAAACTCGGTCAATTCGGTTCATTGATTCATTTGTTAATGTTAGAATATTTTATATTAATTTGAAGATCATATAAATTAATATAAAAAGATATTATAAAAATATTTATAATATTCTAAAAGATATTATAAAATATATATTTATAATATTCTAAGAGATATTATAAGATTATAATAATATCTTTTACTCTAACCATTAATGAGATATATTTTGGATTTATTGAATTTTAGAAATTATAAATATGTATCTTTTCTGTTATTACAGTGTGATAATCTTAGAGTTTACAACAAAAAATGAGAACAAGGGTTTAATGGCATATCATAGAGTTTTGGCTATTCTCAAGGGAAACTTTAGAAAGGCAAGGGTTTTGGGAAACCTTTGGAGTTATCTGAGGGAATTGAGAATGGGAAACATTTGTTTACACGTTGGATTTGAGTTATTCATATATTGAAGATTGAAGAGGTTGGGAAACACTTGGGTATAAAATAAGGTTAATTTTTGGGAGCTTTGGGGTTGTTCTTGAGAACCTAAAGGCAAATGCTATTTTCTTGTAACTCATATGTAATCTCTTGTAACAACTTTCTGAGTATAGTGATTGGAGATCTCCTTTCTCCCTCAGAGTATATCGTTTGATCAAACTGAGTAAACAAATATTCGTCTTTTTCTCGCTTTATTCCGTTATATTATTGGTGCACGGATTATTATTGATGTACACCATTTATTTTGGTTGCTACTATTCTTTTCCTCACAAATTGATATGGAACTTTGTCGTAATTCACAATAATATTCACAACAAGTGGTGCAGTGAGTGTGGAGCAAAGGGATATTGTTTACAAGTGAGCACCATGTTTAGATGGGAGATCGAGAAATTTTTGGTAACAACGAATTTGGATTGTGGAAAATCAAGATGCAAGCAATTTTAATTCAAGAGAAGTGTATCGATGCTTTGAAGAATGAAGCATTGATGCCTGTAGGGATTACACAGGTACAAAAGATCGAGATGTTGGATAAAGCCAGAAGTCACTAGGGAGCAAACTGTAGTTGCTATGTGGGGGAAAAATTAAACCGTTGTATATTATAAGATTAGAATTAATTGAATCCTAATATATCTCTAAGATTAGGTGCATTGCTGAAGAAAGATGTATTTTCAATTGAGTTGATTACTAGAAGTTTGCAATGCCAAACTGGATGTCATGACATTGTAGTGTGACATGCTACAATAATCAAGGTATAAGGATTTTATTCTGATTACAGAACAAAGTCACTGATTTTGTCATCAATGTGTCGGGGATATTTCTACAGACTTATATTGACACTCCTAAAATTGGTATGGTTTAGAAGATCTGGAATTATTTTAATCATAACTTGATGTGCAAGTTATATTGAGAATATGAGGGGTATTTTTAGAATTACACTACTAAAGAATTATTGGAGTAATTGTTTGGATGATCTGCCAGCTATATTCTTTTCCTAGTGGAGTGTTTAATCTCAGAAGAATCATTTTCAATAGCATCATAAATGTCATTTCAAATGTTATAACATTTTTCAAGAGTCAAAGCTTGGAAAGAGAGAAAGCTGAAGAATAATGTACATCTCTCCTATGGTGAATGGTTCACTGTTACTAAGGGTGATCTTATCTTCTTCCAAAAATTCTTTCATTGATTGAAGTGTTTTTACAAGAAAGGTTTCATTACAACCTAGGTAACTTTCCTTGTATTTAAAGACCTTACAACCTCACCATCCTCACAAGCCGCGTTTCAACATTATTGATGCAAAATAAAACTCTTCTGCTGAAAATCAAGAAGAAAGTCGATTTTGGTTCAAAGAAAGTAG